TATGAAAAGGAAAAACGTTCCATGAGTTGCATGTGGACGGAATACTGTCAGGTTCCCCAGGCCAAGGCAGGTGAATTTTCTAAGGGAATTCACACCCGGCAACACCACTACCAATGGTCCACCAACCCGGTGATAACCCCGAATGTCGGCTTTTCGTCTTCTCACCTTGGTTGGAAAACACCTCCGCTACGAGAGGGCAGTGAGTAGGGCTTTTGGGCAATACAGATAGGTTGTGGCGTAACGGTGTATGTTTGTGGGTGTGGGTGTGTGTATACGCGCGCGCATATACGTTATCAGCTGATAGTTCTTTTACCACGTGGGTTCGAATACTCGTGCCTAATTCAATTGGTTAGGTTAGCTTTTATTTCACATGTATTTCGCATTGACACGCGTTTACCACAATTTGTGATGCCGGAGATAACTTTAAAATAAAAAATATATCTCCAGTGTAAAGTCACTTTTCTACACCAGATCGGTACTGTCGATGATGGTCAAGGTTTCGGCTACGTTGCTTCGACCATTCCATTGCGGCTTGAAAGCATTCCGTTTGCTTCGAACGAAAGGGTGAATGGGGATACAACGGAAAACTTGGTCTCTCTCTCCCTCTCTTCTGATTCCATTCACACCCGGTTTCTGAGTTACAAGACTGCGATCTTGTTCTCTGATCCTTTGCGATTCCGTTCGGAATTCTCCTTTTTCGAATACCTACCGTCTATCTGTCTATCTCTCTATCCATCTATGTGTGTGTGTCGGGAAATTGTCGATCATCTGAATCACCCTCCGATCTGTTTCTCGGTCACACTTTATTGCTGTTCAAATGAGACCTTCCTGTCTGAGCAATCGTCCCTGCTCTCCATTCCCCTAGCCCCCTCGCTTCTTGCTCAATGCTCAATGTATCGATTGTCCGATTCGTTTGGTTTTGTCTGTTTCACGTCTCGGGATGTGTGAACACTTGTGATTAGATTATGAAGGTCGACAAACTACCATGTGGAACCACATGGCTTCTTGTGGCATGTCCACCCTCTTACATGTCACGTGACTCCTGTTCACATAAGCGAATGCGACACTGGCTGGATGCGAGCGTGCCTCCCCAATGGAATCAAGCCACATCGTAATGAACATATGTATATATCCAATGGTTACCTGGTGTTGCAAACAAGGTTATTGTGACAAATATATATATATATATATATATATATATATATATTTGTCACAATAACCTTGTTTGCAACACCAGGTAACCATTGGATAGACAGCTCTTTCAGAGCCAGTCCAATGAAGAATCAATGCTATGATTCAATGTTTTGTAGGAGGGTTAGATGCTACTAATCGCAACAAACGTAACCTGATGATCTTGGCAGAATATTTGATAATAAGTAGTATGTGAATGACTGAACAAAATTGCCCTGGAAGCACGCAACCGGTTTTGCGGTTCTCGTCGCTCGTCAGGCTTGCGTATCGGGTAATCTTTTGTCAGTTCATTCACATACTTGTACCCAGGAAGAGTTTTTTCGTCACAATAACCTTGTTTGCAACACCGGGTGACCATTGGCGGTTATGCGACAAGTGACTTACGCTCCCTGTGACATCGATTTCCGCTCATCTACCCATCTTGTACGTGATGTGCATTTATTCACTCCCCGAATGCGTCGTCTGTAATCCAAGGCATTTCTAACTGATACGCTCTAATAACAGCCCAACTAAAAACTACAGTGATGCCCACTTGTATTGTTGATTGGAACAACTGGGGCGTTTTGCGTGCCAGTGAGACCAAAGAGTGAGTGAGTAATCGAAATCAAAAGGCCCTTAGAAGAACTTTTGCTCAACACCGCCCACGGGGGAAGATGTATTGATCCATTGAATGGCATAATTCATAGTGGTTTCTCTCTACCAGTGATCACTGCGTCCTCCGCCCCGTTCAATTACTCTGAAGGTCAAAAATCTATTCCAACACCTTTTTACAAAAAAAGAGAACCAAAGTTAAAACCAACAGTATTCAGCATCATTTTCTTCTTGAGGAGATCACACTATAGTGGTCTTAATTAATTCTCACGGCAACACACTACAAAGACCCTGGCGTCTGCAAATGCACATTGGGATAATGCAAACAATCGCTTATTTTACGTAGCCATCTATCTGTTCGAGGTATTTATTGACCGCGGACCATTTATTCAACGAAACAGTACATGTTTCTACGCCCGACCTGACAATCCACGGTTTGTGTGCGGCGCCAAAGACAAAAATAGTAGTACACCTTGCTGATAAGTCCCAACAGAAACGGAACAACTATCCGGTACACATTGTTGGCTATTGCACACAACATTCTATCTGTCCAACTGATTTCTTGGTTTGCTCGACAAGAAAAAAAAACAATCCAGGCGATCCTATGGAAACGTGATTTTCGCCGTGTAAATAATACCTTCTCGCAAGCTTTTTAGGCTAATCGGAATGGGCATAGACAAACGTGAAAATCGATTCTGTAAGGCAGACAGTTGGAATCGATGAATTAGACAAATATAGCAGTAGTTGTTTAGATCAGTGATAAATTTGTCAAAGTAAGAGAAAAACATTCATTCGATGATATACCGCACTCATTCGACATCCGATACTGCTCCATTACTCACCTCGAACTGAGTCAAAATCGATCCGTCGGCCAGTCCCGACTCCAAATCGAGCATGGACTGAAGCAACGGATGTATATCAGCCACCACCATAGAGTTCCGTCCCGATCCGGTTGTCAGTCCATGATCCGGATTACGGTAAGCATTCGCATAGGTTGGATCCGGGATGCCATTCAGACGACGAATACTGCCATTCAGTGAGGACACAGTGAGTCCGACAGAGGTGGACGTGGCACGAGCGATCGAGTGCGACGCACGTGGAGGTAACGGTGGAGCATCTCCGGAATCCAGAACCTGCTCGTCATTATTCCATTCGTCGAGAACATAGTCTAGGAAATTAGAAATACCAAGTGTCAAGAGGGACGGTACCGAGAAAGCCAAATATGTGCATTGTGTATTCCTTGACTATTCTACCACTTTCGGCTCGGTGTCTTGTTCTCTCTTATTAAACAAGCTCCCATATTTTGGCTGTCCCGCTTTTCTTCTTGAATGGCTTGTTGATTACTTTGAATTGGGAAGAAGAGAGTCAGCCGCATAACTCAATAGCTCGGGTGTACTTCAAGGTGCTGTCCTATGACCCTACCTTTTTCGACTTATATTAGCGACTTACATATTACTCCCACTGTTCGACATTTTAAGTATGCTGATGATATCGCCATTTATGTCTCCGTATCTAGCCCTTCAGAACTGGTTGAATATAATACAAGCCTATCCCACCTCGTTTCATATTCCACTTCATCCGGTCTTAATCTTAATCCTGAAAAATGTCTTGAATGTAGCTTTTTACTCTATACCGTANTATACCGTACCCCATCTCCCTCCGACCGTGTACAGATTCATGGAAAGCCGATGAGCAGGATCAGTCATGTGAAGTACCTGGGTGTCACAATTGAAAGTAACCTTCGCTGGTCCTTACATACCCAAAGTGTTGCTCGCAAGTTGATAAGCAGATAAGCAGACTGCGCCACTTGTGTTCTGACTTGTCGGTAATAGACGCTCTTGTCCAACAATGTGTCCTCCCCATAACCCTGTATTACTCCCCTGCAATTTACCCTGGTTTGCTGAAGGCTGATTTCAAGTTGCAGAGACGTGGCCTCTCAATGATCAGTCGTGTCTCTCAAGTTCCATAATCTGTTCTGATTGGCAATAAGTGTAATGTCCATATTGATGCGTGCTTAAATTTGTTGGCAATATCCTATGTGATTGCACCCATCCTCTACACACTTACTTTTGTGCATGCAAATCCCACCCCACCACCCGTTCTAAGTACAAATTTATCCCTTCCGGCATATCCGCATACAGAAACTCTTTGGTGCCATATCTTGCCCGGATACTGACCGACAAGTAAAGTGTCCATTCTGAGCTTTCTAATGCACTTAGTAATTAACTCATATTTTTGTACGTTTCACATCCCAGTAATTCATCTCTCTTTACCAGAATTGTAACGATGGTCAAATTCTGGCTAAAATCTTATATATAACTATAACTATAGCTCGAATACAATACAATCCATATCAGTTTCCACTTTCGCTGTTTCTAAGATGTATACAATAAACGAAATGAATACTTAGCATCAAAAAGGTAAAAATGCATCTCCAAATACAGGGGATGGGGTGCAGTGACTCAGCTGAGCCAAAAAATCAGCAATTTTTTTGTGAATACATTAACCTGAAGAATCAATCATTTCCAACTCAATACGGCCGTATTTTCGTTCTTGTTCTAAATCTGTTTCTCTGTGTTGTGTAAAATATGAATGTAAAAACTGAGAGTATCGAGCTTGGATTAACCCATTCGATTGTTCAGAGGCACCAGGCACTCTTGATGGTTCTCGGTGTGGGTTTCACTCCTTGGGAGGCCGTGTAGCTCAGGGGTAAGGGTTTGAAGTCTCAACCCGACTGATCGCGGTTCGAGTCCCAAGAGGGACACACAAAAAAGATTGGACAGACCCGTTAAGAGAGAGGGGGGGGAGCAGACATCCAGTCATGTATTTACAAGCATTGTGGAAAAAAAAAACATGCCGCTTGCTTAACCTGTCATATCACGTGACTGACCCAATCGATCAGTCAATGAGGTTCTCATCGATCGACGCATGGATGAACCACGCAAGTCAGTGACTGAGATGACCAAGGGGGCAGCCACCTTGGCATCCTTGGACGGTGAAAAAAGCGACAGGGAGACTGTGTAGCAAGTACATTTGCAGACTTAATGACACCTACCTACGGAGTGACACTGCACTCGAGGTCAGTGTGAGTGAGTTATATATCATCAGATAGTTGCTCTCATTTTGAATTCACCAACGTGGCAACGAGGCGGGAGGGGAAAGGGTTGTATACTCACCACTAGGTCGAACAAGTAACTCCAATACCCCGGAACGGTCTTCACTTGCAGCTCGAATAAAACTGACCACCTGAAGTGGGGACCAAAGAGGAAACAGTCATCTGATTAAAAAATCCCAAATGTAGTTCTTTGAGGAGTACGCTATTAATTTAAGAATAGAGGGTCT